TAATACGTGGTTTTTATACATTAGACTAATGGGACTGCTGCGTCTCGCCCGTTAGCTGACTTCGCACTTGCAAAACCATTACGCGTTGATGTATTTAATGCTGTAGCTTATCTGGTTGTGAAAGTCATATTTGTCTACTCCTCCCTCTCCCACTAAAGGCTTTACTTCAAAGCTCAGCCAGCCGTAAGACTCAGAAGAAGAAGAAAAAGAAGGTGAGATCCAGGACGCTGTGATTCTGTATCTCACATTAATGCTGTTGACGAGTCTCTGCTCTAACGTCGATCCTTTCTTTTAAAAAAAAGGCTTCAAAGACGGTGGAGAATGCAACAGGACAGCCGATGGAGACCGAGGCCGCAGAATAAATCGATGCTCCGATAAATTGTGACAGACATCTGATGATCCAAAGAACAGACGTCACGAATCCTTCTGTCCCAGCTGTGTGAGGCACTTGTGGGCAAACTGCTGCAAATACCTCTGAGTCTAACTGATGTCAGTTTGGGATGATGCTGCTCCTTAAATCTGTCACTCCCACTAGAACACACTCTCTCTTACGAAACACACACTTATATCTCTAGTAAATTTTACTGCCTTTGAGACATCCTTATTCTCCTAACAGGGGTCTGCTACCAGAGAGGATATTTTGGTCAAGGGCATATTCTCACTGGAAAACGCCACCATTTGACTGACCTTGAGCCTTCCATTCATTCTCCAACTGTAGTGAAAGATGTGGAAAATAAAAAGAGTTCGACCGAGCAGCCAAGGATGGCGACTGCACAGCACTGCGTCAGTGTAATTGTGTGACATTAAGATACATTTCTCGAGGTCTTTGAAGTGAAGCCACGCCTCTGTCACGAGTTTAACTTGTCGTGGGCATAAATGTGGGCGCCTGTCCCGATTCATCACATCATCCCCCATCGTTCAGTTTAACTGCAGCATTTATACCGCTCTTGCTTGGTTTGTGCTCCACTGTGTACGCTCGTAAGCCTCTGCTATAAGTTACTCCTAACAGTTTCTAAAGTCAACATTTAGGACCTCCCACATCTAACCAGTAAAAACAAATTGATTTCTTTTCCTCGGTTGTGGATGGTCTTAACTCCTGCCAAGGGTTCACCACTGAGTCTGACAGTCTGTGTTTACATAAGAAGTCCATAGTTGTTAAATATATGGATGCTTTTGTAAAACAAATCCCACTTTTAGAGACTATTTTTGGAAACATTAAAAAACCACCTGACATCATTTGTGTGCGTTCTGTTTTGGTGTATTCATGAATAAAAGATTGTTTTTGCATTTTAAGAAGGTTAATGGACAACCGGAGTAGTTCTGCTCATTATTCCGTCTTATTTATCGAGGGTCTGATCCCAGAGGGTTGGGACGCGAGCCACTGGCCGTGCTGGAGGATCGGGATTCAATTACGCCCACGTGTTTGAGAGATCTTGTGTTTGGTTCACAGTAGTTGCATAAAAAAGTTGAGGGAACAATTTAATCACATTTAATTTTGATGGATCAAATATACAAGCTGAATATCTTTACTGGTACATATTGTGTAATTTGTCGAGAGAATCTCCAAGTCTTTGAGGGCTGGATTCAAAGTCACTGCTGTATCATAATGATGCTCAGTAGTGTGTGGCCCCATGTGCCTGTGCGCACTATGTTAACACCTAGATATGCTCCTCTTGAGACACCAGATGGTGTCCTGGGCCTTATGTCCTAGACTTGGATCTGAATATGTGAACTTCCAGTGACTTTGTCATCCAAGAACTGTGAGGCTGGGTCTTACCCTATACCAGGAGGATTACTGCGACTGGAACAACAGAAGTCTGAGTTTGGTACAGATTAGCAGTTCAGTTTTCAGTTTTATTTGTCATATGCAAGTTAGCACAGGGTCAACATTGCAATGAAATGTGTTT